CCCTACAATAGTTGTGCCCATTATAGCTGTGTAAGGGTGCATGCAAGGTTGTTTCAGAAGAGGAAAGTAACTAGAATAAGCTCAAGCATCCTCCAGGAAAGAAACTTAAAGTCAACCCACATGCTTACATACCCATGGCTCACTGGTAATAATGCAAGGGGAAAGAGAAAAGAGGAAAAAAATAGAAAAAGTATCAATTTTTCAAAACTTAACTAGAGAATGAGATAGGGTACATCGCCTGACCATACTGGAAGTCATGAAATGGTTTGCTTTTCTGAGTGGAGAGAGGGATGTGCACAGGTTTGTGGAGGTGAAAAGCAGAAAAGAAACAAGAACCTTCACTCTGTTTTTTTTCAATGCACATTTGCATTTTTTCCTCCAGAGATACAGAGCAACTGCAGACAAACAGCACTGCAGAAGCAAGCAGTGTCACAAATCTCCTACAGAGTCAGGCACAAAACATTATACGTAATTTTGTCACTGGTTTAGTGGGACAAATCAATGAGGCTACTCACAGAATAAGGCCCTACTCAACAGGGCCAAGAGTGTCAGAAATCTGATGCAACTGGACAAAGCACTGTGCTTGCTGCTTTGTAATGGGCAGGTACAGCTTTATGACAAGTGGTGGCTTTCAACACCTGCCAACTTCTCCGAAAAGTCAGGTCTTTCTTACAAAGCAAAAGCAGAAAAATTAACACTTAGGTCATTTATTATGTAACTTAGTCTTAAGAGTCCCAACCAATTTATTTCCTTTTTACATTTAGAAAAGAGGAAGGAAAAGAGATCAATGCAGGTGTGTGTTGTGGGTGAGGACAAGTCAGCTGTGAGCACCAGGAAGCCAAAAGGAGCACGAGAGGACTTTGACCATGGAAAAGACCCAGACAAACTCAGCCCATCCAGCCCAGCAGCACCCACCTCAGCACCCAAACTCCCCCCTGAGCCCTATGGCAGCCCGGTGGGTCCCCTATTTTTTGGTTCTGACATTAACAAAGACACAACTGGAATACCAGGAAAAAAATAGTTCTTACCTATTTCTGGGGACTTGATGTAAGCTTTTTTTTTGTTTAATGGCAACATAAATGACATCTCAAAATCAGCGTCTGTCAGCAAAAACCCTGTTTTTGCATATTTTTTGAAGTAGACTTGGCCTAACTCACAAAACAAGCCCCAGCACAGGCATTTCTATGAAATTAATTTTATAAAATTAGGGATTGAGCTCTTCTCTTGTTTATGGCCCTTCAACCTCAGAGACACTCATTCCTTCAGCCTCTGTAAACCAGTCAGACTCATGTTATGGGTGTCTGCTTAGTGTCTGCTTTGAGGGTTTTTCTCCCTCACTGTCACAGGGGTGGTGGCTGCTGCTCCGAAATGGTTAACAACTGCCATAAAGAATGATTTTTGGAGCTGCTACCTTCTTCAAGAAGGAATAAGGCTCAGAGGCAGGAGTGAATCTCATGAATTATGGAGCATTGAAAGCAAATCTGAAGAAGTGATAGCAATAGCCAAAGAAGCAAATTCAATTCCTGACACCATTCCAAAACAGCACAAAAATTACATTTTCCCCCCATCCCTCGGGGGTGGGAAGGAATACTTAAACAACCCAGACCACCTAGATGTAAAGATGCTCAGCATCTACTCAGCTCCTCTTGGCAGGAGGAGTTCTGCCCTGGTGGGCTCCCTGCTGAGGTACAGGTCAGTGAGTCAGCAATGGCAGTGAGGGAGCAGCTGGACCTCAGCCATGCTGACTTCATTCCATGCAGAGCCATGTGAAACTGCAGCTACTAATAATCCTTTAAAGCTACTACATCTACAGTGGGGGCAGAATTACTCATCTCACCAGTGTTTCCAAGCCCTCCCAATTCTTTCCTTGGAGCAGCACTACTCATGAAAAAGCTAAGCTGGGTTATATTGCGAAAAGGAATGCAGAGATGTTGCCAGCCACCTGCAGCCCTTTTCAGTATTTAATTTCTTTTAGACACGAATGTGTTTTGATGGTGTTGTGGTGGCAACTGATTTTACCAAAACCTGTACTGGTATTACTGAGATTATTCCCAGTACTACTATTCCTGATATTATTCCATTGTGTCCTCTGGACAATCATTATACTGCATAAAATTAGGTGAAGAAATACTGACCCTCAACAGAAAAAAAAAATCCACTGATAATTAGAAGTTAAAAACTAGAGAAACTTAACAGATACAAACCAACACAATTTCACTACAATGAACAAGGCCAACCAGACTCATAGTAGCCAAGCACATACTCAAAATTTCTATCATTTTGACTTCCAACAATACTGGGCTCCTCAAGCATCAAGGTTAATTCTTCTGTACAAATAATTGCAATGAATTATAATATCTGAAAAGCTAAAATGTCAAAATAATTATTTAAGCAACCACTGCTTGAGAGATAGGATGATATTTTCATATATAGTCAGGGAACAATGGTTGTCACTATCAGTTTGCTAATACTAATTACCTAGAATCTGATTTCTATTTCTATTGTAAGCTGAAACACGACTATGAGCATGATAACTTCCCTCACATTCAGTAACATTTCTCAGGAATTTGCAGCTTCCTAGACACATCACCTACAGATCTGAACAAAGGAGATTTATTAGGGAAGCCTGGGTAAAAAACACAAAATGTTTGAGAATTCAAGAGAATATTACATTTGCATTGGAAACAATGAATGTAATTTTTGCAAGGAAATAACATCATAGAATCCTAGAATGGTTTGGGTTGGAAGGGACCTTAAAAATCATCTAGATCTAATCCCCTTGCATGGGCAGAGACACCTCCCACTAGACCAGGTTGCTCCAAGCCCCATCCAACCTGCCCTTGAACACTTCCAAAGGGATGGGGCAGCCACAGCTTCCCTGGGCAAACTGGGCCAGTTTCTCACCACCCTCAGAATGAAAAATTTCCTCCTAATGTCTAAAATAAATCTCCCCTCTTGCAGTTTTAATCCATTTCCCCTCATCCCATCACTCCCAAGCCCCTCCCCAGCTTTCCTGGAGCCCCTCTAGGCACTGGAAGGTGCTCTAAGGTCTCCCTGGAGCCTTCTCTTCTCAGGCTGAACAGCCCCAGCTCTCTCAGCCTGTCTCCAGAGCAGAGGTGCAACATCCTTTGACAGTCCTTCAGAAAACATCCTCTCTGTTATCACAAACCCAAGTTCTCAGGCAGGCACAACCTAAAGGCATTAGCTATTGCATATCCCAATGGAAATGTCCTTTAATTTCATCCCCACTGATTTTTTAAGAAAACACAGAGGTTTCAGCAGAGCTCTGGCAGGACAGCATCAAGGCAGGGATGAGCTCTGCAGTCACCTGCAGCTGCGGCCAGTTTTGCTGATGCCCAGGATCTGGGGATAAGATGTTCCAGCCAGACCAACCTCTCTCTGACCTCTCTGCTAAGAAGAGAAACCTGGATCTAAGGGGCACTGCTGCCTTGCCCTTCAGCAAAAGTAACCATCCCTATCCCAGCATCATGGGAAGCAAAAGACTTCAGGAGGCTATCCCAGGCTGTGGCAGCCCTCCCTGGTTAGGGAGAGACCAGGGCGTCCCATCTCTGCCCTCTGCTCTATTCTTCTCCCCCCCAGCAGGCACTGAGCCTGTTCTCAGCAGGGTGATGCACACAAGCTGCTGTCTGCCCTGGTGGGCTCCCTGCTGAGGTACAGGTCAGTGAGTCAGCAATGGCAGTGAGGGAGCAGCTGGACCTCAGCCATGCTGACTTCATTCCATGCAGAGCCATGTGAAACTGCAGCTACTAATAATCCTTTAAAGCTACTACATCTACAGTGGGGGCAGAATTACTCATCTCACCAGTGTTTCCAAGCCCTCCCAATTCTTTCCTTGGAGCAGCACTACTCATGAAAAAGCTAAGCTGGGTTATATTGCGAAAAGGAATGCAGAGATGTTGCCAGCCACCTGCAGCCCTTTTCAGTATTTAATTTCTTTTAGACACGAATGTGTTTTGATGGTGTTGTGGTGGCAACTGATTTTACCAAAACCTGTACTGGTATTACTGAGATTATTCCCAGTACTACTATTCCTGATATTATTCCATTGTGTCCTCTGGACAATCATTATACTGCATAAAATTAGGTGAAGAAATACTGACCCTCAACAGAAAAAAAAAATCCACTGATAATTAGAAGTTAAAAACTAGAGAAACTTAACAGATACAAACCAACACAATTTCACTACAATGAACAAGGCCAACCAGACTCATAGTAGCCAAGCACATACTCAAAATTTCTATCATTTTGACTTCCAACAATACTGGGCTCCTCAAGCATCAAGGTTAATTCTTCTGTACAAATAATTGCAATGAATTATAATATCTGAAAAGCTAAAATGTCAAAATAATTATTTAAGCAACCACTGCTTGAGAGATAGGATGATATTTTCATATATAGTCAGGGAACAATGGTTGTCACTATCAGTTTGCTAATACTAATTACCTAGAATCTGATTTCTATTTCTATTGTAAGCTGAAACACGACTATGAGCATGATAACTTCCCTCACATTCAGTAACATTTCTCAGGAATTTGCAGCTTCCTAGACACATCACCTACAGATCTGAACAAAGGAGATTTATTAGGGAAGCCTGGGTAAAAAACACAAAATGTTTGAGAATTCAAGAGAATATTACATTTGCATTGGAAACAATGAATGTAATTTTTGCAAGGAAATAACATCATAGAATCCTAGAATGGTTTGGGTTGGAAGGGACCTTAAAAATCATCTAGATCTAATCCCCTTGCATGGGCAGAGACACCTCCCACTAGACCAGGTTGCTCCAAGCCCCATCCAACCTGCCCTTGAACACTTCCAAAGGGATGGGGCAGCCACAGCTTCCCTGGGCAAACTGGGCCAGTTTCTCACCACCCTCAGAATGAAAAATTTCCTCCTAATGTCTAAAATAAATCTCCCCTCTTGCAGTTTTAATCCATTTTCCCTCATCCCATCACTCCCAAGCCCCTCCCCAGCTTTCCTGGAGCCCCTCTAGGCACTGGAAGGTGCTCTAAGGTCTCCCTGGAGCCTTCTCTTCTCAGGCTGAACAGCCCCAGCTCTCTCAGCCTGTCTCCAGAGCAGAGGTGCAACATCCTTTGACAGTCCTTCAGAAAACATCCTCTCTGTTATCACAAACCCAAGTTCTCAGGCAGGCACAACCTAAAGGCATTAGCTATTGCATATCCCAATGGAAATGTCCTTTAATTTCATCCCCACTGATTTTTTAAGAAAACACAGAGGTTTCAGCAGAGCTCTGGCAGGACAGCATCAAGGCAGGGATGAGCTCTGCAGTCACCTGCAGCTGCGGCCAGTTTTGCTGATGCCCAGGATCTGGGGATAAGATGTTCCAGCCAGACCAACCTCTCTCTGACCTCTCTGCTAAGAAGAGAAACCTGGATCTAAGGGGCACTGCTGCCTTGCCCTTCAGCAAAAGTAACCATCCCTATCCCAGCATCATGGGAAGCAAAAGACTTCAGGAGGCTATCCCAGGCTGTGGCAGCCCTCCCTGGTTAGGGAGAGACCAGGGCGTCCCATCTCTGCCCTCTGCTCTATTCTTCTCCCCCCCAGCAGGCACTGAGCCTGTTCTCAGCAGGGTGATGCACACAAGCTGCTGAGAACCCTTCCTGATCCTTCTGTAGGACAAAGAAGAAGGATTTATGGTCACTGAGTATATATATTTCAACTAAAAGAAACAAACAAAACCAAAGCATTTGGACATTGTGATACAGAAGGAAGGAGCAAAGGGAGTCATTACACCAGTTACACCAGCTGGAAGTTTTTATATTGGTATAAAGGGAACAGTCACACAACCACTCTAATCTCTACTACCAACCTACGAGGAAAACAACCATTAATGCAAAATCTGAAAGCAAGATTTTCAAAAGACAACCACCACAGCAACAGAAGGAAGCCAAGGAGAACAGGAGGATTACCTATTACGCTTTTGGCAAATGAAGCTCTCTTGAGGGTTGCCAGACCCAAGTCTCCTATTTTCACAGATCCAGTTGGTCCAGTGATAAAAATATTGTCACATTTCAAGTCTCTGTGAATGATTGGTGGAGTTCTTGTGTGCAAGAAAAGAAGACCCTTCAGGATTTGCCGGCACCAACTACGCAGGACTTTTGGTTTCATCACTTTAAATCTTTTCAGATACCTACAAGCACAAACACACACAAAAGTGGGTATAAAGAAAATTAAGTGTCATTAGAGATTCTAGAGGCTTTAACAGTTGAAACTCCGTTCTGGATAAAAGACCCTTATTGGATGCCAGAACAGCAGCTCAGAAATATCACTAAATTGAAAGAAACAGATCTTTTCAATGGAGGAATTAGAGCATTCATTTTTAGAGAAGATAGTAAGCACTTCTGGTGGAAATACAGCCAAAAATTTGTAATTTTACCAGTACAGTAATCCACAATGCAGAGAATAGTTTTAGAACATGTTTAATATATTAAAACCAGAAGAGTATTGAAGTTTTATTTTAACCAGAAGACTTTGACCTCTGCACCATGCACCTGCATTATTTCCATTTACCTACACACAGATGGGAAGGGTGCATTTAGGAAAAATGTCAAACCTGCTAATGCACTGGCAAAGTAGCACACTGGAGATACACAGTGATGATTACTGCTCCCATTGGGGTTGAAAATCTGTTCCAGAATTCATGCCAACTGTTTTATATCAACCTTAACAAGATTTTCAGTACCAAAAGCTATTAATTAATATTGTTTAGTAGATAACCTAGACTCCCCTTTGCTTCAAATTGAGATCCTACCATTCAAGTGCTATTCTAACTGAATTTTCTAACAAAACATCCAAAAACAAGCACAAAAGCAATCACAAAAACACACGCTGACAAATTAAAACGTGACAGGCAGAAGATGAAACACACCAGAAAGCTGCTTCTAGTTGCATAACGGAAACAGGAGAGCAGGGAAAGA